AATACGAAGAGTTTAATAAGCCACTCTATCTAGGTTTTATCGACTACAGCAAAGCCTTTGACAGCATAAGCCACAACTCTATATGGAAATCACTAAAGAAATTAAACATAAATTCGAAATATATAAATATTATAAAATATATATACAACAACAGCATNGCGTCCCCGGGACTTAAGCAAACTCGCCGAAAGGCGAGTCCCCTGAGTGGGATTTATACCCCCTGCGCTGTACCAGCCAGCAGTGATTTGCAGGGGGGGGATGCCTATGCCGTGAAAACGGCAGTCAGCTGGGATTGGGGTGGAGAGTTTGGGAAGGTGGGGCCCCACTGGGTTGTGAGTGCCACAACAAGCGGTGATCTCAGTGGGGGTTCAGTCTTTAAAAAGACTGTTTTGCACGCCGATAGATAAATAAATTTAATAAATGAAATGAGTGAATGATAATGAGTTGTCGTTTCGAGTGCAAAACTACGAACACGAAATACGCTTTACCGATTCAAGGTCGCGATGCCAGCGACAGAGCGTCCGGAATGCAAAACAACGTCAACGACAATGTCGTGCAATCCAAACACACGATCGCGACAGCAGCGACAATTTCTCGGAAAAACGCGTCCGGGCTCAACGGTGTTGCGATCGGAACTCGTTGAACGTAAATATATAAATAAATAATATATATAACTATTTCAGATATAATTGTGATATAGTAAATTGTATTCAAACGTTCGATTCGATAAACTAAGAAGACAACGTCGTTGTGAATATTACCCCCCCCCCCCCCTCCCCGCNTTGGGTATACACGACAAGAGCAAAACAAAGAATCACAACAACACAAAGAGCTATGGAGAGAAGTATACTAAACATAAGAAAAATTCAAAAAGTCAGGAGCAAAGTAATAAGACAGAAAACAAAGATGACAGATGCCCTCACACAAGCTCTAAAATTGAAATGGCAGTGGGCAGGTCACGTATTGAGATACACAGACACCTGGTGGACAGTTAACACAACAATCTGGAAAAGGCCAATTGGCAAAAGAAGGGTAGGGAGACCGAAAAGACGATGGGCTGACGACATAACCGAAATAATAGGAAAAGACTGGCAAACGATCGGCAAGGACAGAGATCAGTGGAAAGGACTGGAGGAGGCCTTCACCCGAGATGAGGGGTCCATATCCAATAACAAAAAATAACTCGTACTAACATTTAGACAATAAGCGTTAATAACTAACTAAACACTAATAAATAAATACCACATTGCAAATGAAAGCTCAGGATAAGGAAATACAGGCTTTTTTTTTTTTTTTATTATTATTATTTTTTATAAATAAAAACTAATCAGCAAAATTTAAGAGAAAAATAAAGAAAACCAACATACAATTGAGCACGATTTTTTTTTTTGCAAATTGTGTCGATTCTTCATTAGCCGAAGGAACTTCGTTCCTACCTGGTGTCCCACGACACCACATTTTGACTTTTTTATTTATTTTTCGTACTGTCAAGATGAGTGAATTTGATGTCGAAATTCGATGCATTTTAAAATTTTACTACAAAAAATGCAACGCAAGCCGCGAAACAAATTTGCGATGTTTATGTACCTAGTGCAGGGTCTGTGAGAGTAGCACAAATTTGGTTTAAGCGTTTTCAATCCGGAAATTTTGATGTCAAAGATGCACGTCGCTCTGGTCGCCCTATTACGAATAAAATGGATGTTATTTTTGAAAAAGTGGAGCAAGATCGGCATATCAGTAGTTATGACGTAGCTGAAGAACTGGGAATTGACTAGAAAACAGTTTTGGCGCATTTGAAAAAAACTGGGTACACAAAAAAGCTCGATATTTGGGTACCTCACGAGCTCACTGACAGAAATCTAATGAACCGTGTACTCATTTGTGATTCTTTATTACGACGTAATGAAATCGAACCATTTTTGAAGAACCTGATAACTGGTGATAAAAAGTGGATCACGTACGACAAGAACGTGCGAAAAAGGTCGTGGTAAAAGGCCGGTCAGGCTTCACAGAATGTGGTGAAATCCGGGTTAACTCGCAACAAGGTGATGCTGTGTGTGTGTTGGAAGGGCATTATTCATTATGAACCATCGATTCTGAACTCTACTGCGAACAACTGATGAGATTAAAGCAAGAAGTTGAGAGAAAGCGGCCGGAATTAATCAACAGAAGGGGTGTGGTTTTTCATCATGATAACGCTAGACCTCACACATCTTTAGCCACTCAGCAAAAATTAAGAAAGCTGGGCTGGAAGGTGTTAATGCATCCGCCGTATAATCCTGACCTTGCACCTTCAGATTTCCACTGTTTCGATTTCTTCAGAATTCTTTAGGCAGTGTCAGGTTAACAAAACGAGAGGACTGCCAAAATCAATTGTCGTGGTATTTTGATCCGAAGCCCCAAAATGTCTATAGCAATGGGATCATGTCCCTACCTACAGGATGGCAAAAATTTATCAAACAAAATGGTACCTACATACTTTAGTTAAATGTAAATAAACTACATAATATATTAAAAAATGTTGTGAATTTTCTTAAAAAATGTGAAGAGACTTTTCCCCAACCTTATATACCACTCAAATGTATTTTTTAAGGAATTTTATGACCTGGTAACTAAGCCCTTTAGGTCATGTCTTATTTTAATTTATATTCTTATTTTTATGCAAATTAATGATAATATGGACTGAAATGAAATGAAGATGTTAATTTGAGACATTAATCAAATGCTCTTAAATTAAATGAAATGGGATGGGATGAAATATGATCCTATTGATAACCTCAAAATGCTTTTATGATTTCAACTCGAAGCATGAAGATAGCCATGATTTTGAATACTTTTAAGACTTATCTAACAATGCGGTGTCTAACAACCCGCACATGTTTTCAGAGTTATTGTACTTAGGTTATAGAACAAATAATAGTATAAACTATTTATTAAATGAACGATTGACATTGATAGAACGATGAACTCCATATATAATACTTCATGCTACTGATCATAATAATATTATCAGTTTGAAAAGTGACGACGCCTTCAATTATAATAATAAATGTAAAAAATAAATAAAAAATAACTACAGTAAATTTCTATGAAATATTTAAAATAGTTTCTTAAATTTGTCTATATTAAAAAAAAATACAACTAATTAATTTTGAATCAACTTCCATTAGTTAGAGATAAGAGATTAGCTAGAGATATTTGTGTAACGAAAAAAGAATATCAAGTAAAACAAATTAATAAAAACATTTTTTTTTGAGACTCTCATCTGGATAATCAGTCAAAGTCTTGTTTTGCATTGCTTGCATTGTGGTTGGTATTTAATACGTGTGCAAGTTGTCAAACATTGTCTTGATATTGGTGCATACTGATACATTTTTTATTGCCCTTGTAGGCATACGGCCCACCTGATGGTGAGTGGTCACCATCGCCCATGGACTGCAGCAATGCCAGGGGCAGAGCCAAGCCGCTGCCTACCGCTTAATAATCTCCACAAGCCTCGCTTGAAGAAGGACATACACACATACTGATCTAGACATACATACATACTGATCTAGCTAATAAAAATCGAATCAAAAACGACCAATCTATTACCAATTCATATTTTTCTACAAACAACTAGCGTCCAATTCATATTTTGTACAGAAACTAGTAATAATTACAAATCAATTTTTTTAATTTTTACATTAACAAAAGAGTTTCGTTTACGCACTCATAATTGCCGCTTCGTATTTTAAATAGTCCATAATGGAATGGTTTGATTTATACTTGAAAACAAAGAAAATTATATTTAATTTAATAGTACTTAGTAATATGTATTTAGAGGTTGTTCTCTAATTTCAGGCTCGGTTTACTGAAAGCCCGCGCTAAGACCTTCTGGGAAAAGGTGTCTGAGTTCTCCCATCAGTGAAAACAAAAGTCCCTAGAACCTTACCTATTATTTTATACTTAGTATAGTATCATAGTATCATACTATATAGTATTATCAGTATCACGTAATAAGCAATTTACATTAATACGTTTCCAGAACGGTAATCTGTGGTGGTATTATGAGTCAACCAGATCCACTACCTATTTCAAAAGAGAAACAAGTTAAATTATCAATAATATTTAATGTTAAATTATAAGCTGAAAACATATGAATAGTTCCAGTCTGTGAAACGTTATCAAGGTGATTTAAAACAATCACAGTTTTAAATCTTGTTTACTCGATTGATATTGATATATCTGGATATCATTATATATTTATATATCTGATGTATATCTGGAGTGACTCATAGTGATGGGTAAAGTGAATGGAAGACAATCCAGAGGTCGGAGCCAAAAAAGACGGAGAGACCAAGTGTCCGAGCATCTGGACACGAGTCTTCACTGTACCTTTCTTTCTCTTTTTTTTTCCTATCTATGCTGATAGCCTTGAGAGGCTATGTCAACTTCTTCTTAACGTGTAGGTCAGTTCACGGGTCTCAAACCGGAGTGGTGCTAACACTGGCCCTAGCAAGAGCAGTGCTTCGCAGAATCTACCAGCGGATCGGAAACGCGACCCACTGAGAAGATCCGGCGAGAAACTCAGTGGGCTGTGTCTATGGGTTAATTCGCTCGTCGACGGAAGACGTAGCGTGGGTAGGCCTCCCACATGATGGACCGACGATCTATAGAGGTTCGCGGGGATCCGCTGGATGCAGGCAGCGCAGGACCGGTCTTTGTGGCGAGGCTTGGGGGAGGCCTATGTCCAGCAGTAGACGTCTGTAGGCTGATAATAAGAAGAAGATTGGATCCGTAAAAACGTGTCTAGGGCGTCGACGATGATTGGCTTCTGAATAAGCCGAATTAAGCTGACTACTATCAGCGGTGGGCACGATAAGCCTGTTGTCATGATCGAAGTAAACAAGTGGATCTAAAACACCGCTGCCCGTATACAGCCGTGACATCACTTATCTACGTTTGGAAGTGCTCGAAATGGGCACACAATAAAACTACCGTACACTACAATAACAACTGACCGTTTCCTGTATTTATAGATGATGAGTACGATGAACGCGTTTCCGATGAACAGGGCCGCTATCAGCAGCGACGGGATGACGATGTCTGAAACAGATTTAAACATTGTCAATGTGTCCTACTGATATACCGTGATATACGCAGTGTTTAGATTAAAGAACGGATTCCCAATAATAGCTCCTTCGGATACGGGCTTCGTTTTTTTTTTTGTTGTTTATTTGGGTGGACGAACTTACAGCCTATAGGTGTTAAGTGGTTACTGGAGCCCATAGACATCTACAACGTTAATGCGCCACCTACCTTGAGATATAAGTTCTAAGGTCTCAGTATAGTTACATCGGCTGCCCCACCCTTCAAACCGAAAAGCATTACTGCTTCACGGCAGAAATAGGCAGGGTGATGGTACCTACCCGTGCGGACTCACAAGAGGTCCTACTACCAGTAATTACGCAAATTATAATTTTGCGGGTTCGTGTGATCGCGTTTCCAAATAAATCGATCCATCGACTCAACATGCATTAGCTACGATACACCTTTGGCGTTTCGGTGCGGAACTAATCAATTGTGATTATAAGCAATAGAAAGCAAGACTTGAAAACAAGATTACTTGAAATCAATGGCTAACGCATATTAATAGCATGCACGGGTGAGGAGCACCATTCTGCCTATTTTCATCACTAAATAGTCATTTGTTCCAGGTTCAAGGGTGGGAAAGACTCTTCGAGATCATGTCTCAAATTGGGTGTGATTTTCACATGTTGATAACCTCCGATAACCACTGAACACTGATCACGACATCAGCTCATTCATTAAGTTCACTAAGCAACAAAAATTCTTATTATAATTTTTTTATCCAAAATAATTCCAATTATATCGTCTTATCATTATCGAAGCATGATAATCTCCTCCCTCGTGTGATTACATTACATCATTAAGCTACAATCAATGTCAGATAGCAACGAAAAGTACCTTGGAATGGAAAACAAATTATTTCATTGTAATGAATATTTAGTCACATATTACCATAGTAATTTGTAATGTTACGCCGGTTAGAACAACGCCATCTATTGTCAGATAGCGGAAACACACATCGAAGCTACTCGACTTGTCCAGAATGTTTTCGATAAATCTAGGGATGTTGTATCGACTACAAAAGCGTTGCAGAGATGGCACGCAGTCAGTTAATAGTCGGAACTACTCGAGGCGAAACAGCGAACGGATCACTTAAAGCGAACCGGAAGAAGTGAATTGAGAATTTCAAAGTATTCGGTAAGTGTTTTAAATGTTCTAAATGTTAATACAGTTGTAATCTGTAGTTCGATAGAATTTTTATTTATCCCGATCCGCAGCGCGTAACAGCTGAGGCCGGAAAAGAAAAACGAAACATTTTTTTTTTTCTAGACACGGCAGAGGAAAAGAGCTCTATCCCCATCCGGTGTTAAAAGATTTATACCGATTATTCGTGATTGACGGTTTGTATATCCAGGGTATTGCTAGGCGCTTGATGAGAGCACCCCGGACATTTCATCCTTTCGACCTGCGGATGTTCGCCCCGGTTCTCAGGACGGCCTGTATCCGATTCCGTCGCTTCACCGCCCGGGTACAAAACCGACAATTCCGTTTCCTCTGACCTTCGTGCTTACTCTACTAAGCTTTTAGAGAGGAGTATGACTTGAATAAGCTGGTAAGAGTGCACTTCTAGATCAAATAGTTGTATATAGTGAAATTCTTTTCGGGACCCAAAAGTACCTATCATAAGTTGGCTGTTCTCTTTATGGATTCATAATCTGATTTAATCAGTATTCCTTTTGATATTCGCGAATAAGGACTTACTTTCAACCATATTAACGATTGCATTTCGTATATTTTTTTTTCATTTTAACTTTATGAATGCAGACGTTGCTCTTACTTTGTATTTGGTGTTTGCTCACGATTAGCGTGTGGCGGGTAGCCATCGCAGAACACAATATATTTGACAGATGCCTGAATCTCGCTTACGACATTTTCAAGATATGCTCGTATATATACAAGTTCCGAACAACAATAACCGTCGGTCTACCGAGCAACATCACCAGCTCGGTGGAGGATCTTTCTCACCGTCGTTAAGCATTCCACAAGGGTGATGTTCGTTGAAATTTAAAAAAGAGCCCTATGACGACGAACGATAGATCAAAAGCATTTTTATTTATCTTATTGAATCATTAAAAGCTTAAATAATAAGCCGTGGGCGAAACATGTCTCCTTGCAGTAATTAAGCTAATCTTTTTTTTTAATATAAGCCGTAAAGTATTATGGTGGAAATAAGCACGAAAAGCTCGTTGAAAAGTTTACATCAAAGTAGTTAATCCTGGAAGGCATAACACCTGTGTACCCTTTAAGTGCGTAAGCGATGTTAAACCTCAAAATGTAGGAACGTAGAAATAATTCACATTCTAATTTAATGAGTTTTATAATGATCTTTTTTTACTGCTAACTGAGAAACGGTAATGTTCTTATACAGAATATGCCACTAAAATTATACTGTATATAATTGTATGCCGTGATACAGCAAAAACTATAACTTCGCCCTCATGTATGAAGATGGGTGGCTCTATTCGTGCTTCGACTTTATTTATGAAGATTGGCTGTATTCGTACTATGAACTCAGTGGCCACCAGTAAACATTTAAAACCAGACGAAACGTAAGCTAGGTTGGTTGTAAAGAGCAAAAAATAGCTCTAGAACCTTCGAAACGCCCACAGTTATTTTGCAGCAGGAAAATTCAAAACGACGGTACCACACTATAGTCTAATTGATTAAACATGAATGGAATTGCTGTACATATTCAAAATTTCAATCAATCTTTTCTCGATTCTGTCACAAATCAACAACAGAACAAAACAGGCGAGTTCTTGATTTAGCGGAATGAATAGCCCGCTTTTGTATCGTCTACTAAAGGTATCGTAGGTAATACAATCGAATGATTTTGATAAATTTTAGCGTTGCTAAGAAACAAGAGACATTGTTCAGTGTTACTATAATGGTAATTTGCCAGTCATAGAAACTGCCAGACCTCATGATAGTGAGGCCTTTCTGTATGCAAATAATCAATAATAGTGAAAAATATTATTAAATAGAAATACGCTACCAAATTCAGACGTGATCGCAATATTCAAATGTCAACGAACCTTAGCGCTGCTTGATTACAAAAACACACAAAGCTAAAACGAAAAAGTAGTTTTTCATCAAATCAAAACATTACACAAAATCATACAAACAAATAAACATTACTTTACTAATGATTTTAAAATAACACGCAATGTAAGATAAATATGAATCGAATGTCACGTCCAACGTCGCGTCGAAGATGTGGGCCAGATTTCTGCGCATTCCATTGCGTATTCACGAACTCTGCTATTAACAAACGGTCAAGTATTTCTAAGCTTAGTAAAAATTTCCATTATTTACATAAAGATACATAAAAACAAAAACAAAAACGAAATCTAGCGGTATCAGTGATTATAATCAAATTACGGTCAATGGGCCTATATTTGTGGGTAGATATATGTATTTTAAAAGCGACATTCTCAACTTTCCCGGTTTCGATTCCCGGAACCGCTTCACACACAGAGAACATTTAAATAACTTAATTAATGTGAGGTACATGTAAACTTTACGAAAAGTTCGACCTCTAAATTCATAATTGACGAACAGACATGTATGTAAAATTACATCCAGTACCTAAATCAACTTTCTGACTTGTATTAATAAGTTGGATCACAGAATTGATTTTGAAGGATCGCTTCAGCTATTTAACGTGCGATAGATTTATATACGAAATAACTGGTGGTAGGACCTATTGTGAGTCCGCGCGAGTAGGTACCACCACGCTGCCTATTTCTGCCGTGAAGCAGTAATGCGTTTCGGTTTGAAGGATGGGGCAGGCGTTTTAACTATACTGTGACCTGAGAACTCATAGCGCAAGGTGGGTGGCGGCATTTACGTTGTAGTCTATAGGCTCCGGTAACCACTTAACACCAGGTGGGCTGTGAGCTCGTCCATCCATATAAGCAATAAAAATATATATGTATATACATAACAATTCGGTTGTCGGGGGTAAGCTCATACGAATAACCGATATACTATCATTCTATTCTGCCTATCACTGCCAAATGTATTAATCCGTAAATTACTGTTGATATTAGACATTCCACGAATCCAGTCTATAATTTAAACAATACCCAAGGTTTTTAACCTATTTTCTATTATTAGCTTGTTATGCATTTTTGTTTGTATGTAACACAATCTTTGTAGGTACGTCATTATCACCGACTTCAAGGATTAACATGAAAATTTGCACTCGCATCATGGACCGATGACCATACACTGATTGTTTAACTAGCTTCGCTCTAATATCCTGACCATTATCATGTGGATTAAAAAAATATAAAATTAGTCGCTAATTCGGTTTGGTGTTTAGACTTCTTTTTAGTCTGTAGCCTACACATATTTATTATTAGCTTATCACACCTATTTATCGCACCTTTAGAATTGAAGTGGCATAATCCAAATGCAAAAATGTAATTGAAGAATTTAAATTTTTTAGTTATTCAATTTTCATACTTTAAGGTATGCGCTTGATTTAAAAGTTACGGAAAGAGTACTTTGTCCTTATCTAGACTAAAAAGGACTGTTTAATTTTGTATGTAATAGAAGAAAGAGGAAAAATGCATATTTTTAAGTCGTGCATAGTATAAAACTATTTTTTTTTTAGTTAAGCTATTTCAGTACTAAAGGTGGCGGGCGATATGTATGAAAACTGAATTAAGCTTTTACTCACCGACTATCATGTTGGGTTCTTGGTGGGGCGGCAGTTTTGTTTCTTTGCCGATGCCCTCCCGTGAAGAGTCGTTCCCGACGGCTTTGACAACCGTCTCGGCTGAGGGAAAATATTTTTTAATTAATACCTAGTTTGAGGCCGCCGGGTCTATTCAATGGCCCCAGCCTTTGAGTTCGTTTGGTGAATGATGCAAAGGGTTTTTAATTATGAATTTCTTGAACCGTTTCGTTTCATTCAGAGATTTCAAAGAGATTTAGTGCGTTTTCGTAATTAATTCTATTACACTGCAATTGCTGGGATAATCTTGTCACGCTTTTGTTACGTGATGCGTAGTTTTAGATCACCACAGATTATCCATATCCAATTAAATTTTATCGCTTCGTTGCTCTCTTATAATGTTCAAGATATTTAATCTGTGGACACCTTATGATAGTATCATGAATTTTTTTTTTTTTTGTAGTAACGACCTCTGGGATTTTCTTCTGTTTATGAAATCTGAAATTCTTCTGAAATCTGAATCTCTAATTTCGAATAGCAAGAACCTTTAGCAAATACGTTAACTGCGATCAGGAATCTACCAGCGGACCCCGGCAGACCATCAGATCACCTAACAGATCACGAGGTCATGGCACTGCTACCAACCAACTAAGCAATCAAACGAAAGAAATAGTAGAAGAGTGTATATTGTTTGTATGGCTTAGACTGGTGAACGGGGTCACGGTTCGCATGATTTTAAGTGATTCTCGGAGACCGATGACGTCAGTGTGCTTATTGCGAGTTTTTTAACTCGATAACGTTAAAGTTGGAACAGCGCCCCTAGCGGCAAACGTAAGCAAACGTTCCAACTACAAAGATGAGTTAACTTTTACGCTATCGAGAACGTTAAAAAACTCGCACTAAGCACACTGAACTAGGATGAAGTCGAAGTCTCCATTGTTTTACCACTGTCACTTCAATACACGGTGAATGACAGCTTCACTAAAACACGCCTCAACAGTATAGGTAGGTACTTCTTAACAATAATATTTAGCTAAAAAAACAATTAAATGAAATACCCTAGTTCAAACTTATAATACAAATAATAATGAACTAATGTACATACGTATTAATTAATGTTTGATAATTAATCGTTCGCGACTACTCCGTGTTATTTGTGTCAAGCAAATATGTACATAATTATGTACTCACAAATATATTTAGTACCACTGAATTTGTTTGCACAATAAAAATTTTCGAGTCTGTGCTAGCTTGGATGTAAAAACATAATTAAGTGCAAATAAATCATGAATAATTTTTTTTGTTTCTTTATATTTATTTTAGCAGTGTGGTAAATTAATGTAAAATAAACCTACAGTATCGGACAGAAAGATACGTAAACAAAAATAAATTGCTTTAGACAAACATAATATGTTTGACTGACTCGATGATGCAGTGGTAAGAAAACATTCGTGTGGTGAACAGATTTGTTTGTTCTTTGTCTCGGTATTCACAATCTTAATTTTTTTATTGCTTAGTTGGGTGGACGAGCTCATAGCCCGCCTGGTGTTAAGTGGTTACTGGAGCCCATAGACATCTACAACGTAAATGCCGCCACCCACCTTGAGATATGAGTTCTAAGGTCTCAGTATAGTTACAGCGGCTGCCCTACCCTTGAAACCGAAACGCATGACTGCTTCACCGCAGAAATAGGCAGGGTGGTGGTACCTACCCGTGCGGACTCACAAGAGGTCCTACCACCAGTAAACGTATATACACATTAAACGTCTATAAATATGTATGTCAGTTTCTGGTGCCCATAACACAAGGAATCATAATTTGGGGCCGTATGACCATGCGTGATTTGTTCCCTGTTATTTATTTATATATCAATCTATAAAAAAGCAATATATAAAATATTAAAACTCTGTGAAACGATAACTATCTTGAAACATCTCTTAAGAACCAACGCGCAATACCGCCCTCCCAGCAGTAGGTACAAAATGACTTCTACCAATTAAAAATGAATAATATAATCGTTTCCATGGTATTTTGTATAAGCATTTGACATCAAGCAACCAGCTTCGAGGGCTCTTCTTATACGTTTTAAACGAGAAAAGGAAAATACGTCATCAGAGTTTCCTTTCATCTCGATAAGCAAAGGGTTCCCCCCGGAGACATCAGTCAAAACGACGTAGAACTCAATTTAAAAAAAAAAAAAAAATATTTATCTCTATGTCCTTTAAACAATACTAGTGGGCCCGCAGTAGTCGAAATTCCCATTCCGATAGAGGCACCCGTCACGTGCGGACGTGCTCATCGACCACTCGTTCGCCCGGTCTTTGTTCGCCCGGCTTTTGTTAGCCCGGCCATTGTTCGCGCGGCCTGTGATCGTGATACATCTGCCGACCAAGTGTTTTTCCTGGAAGCTTTTATTTGTTTCGTTTTAGTTATTTTTGTGTTCGTGGTACATTTGCCGACAAANAAAAAAAAAAAAAAAAAAAAAAAAAAAAAAGTCGAAATTCGACTATAATTAATTGAAATTGTAAGTTTGTACACTAATATGATTCTATTTTCAAATACTTCTAGGTATAATCACAAATTTCGCCAAGACTACACTATAGAAAAATATTAATAACTAGCGACCCGCCCTCGCTTCGCTTCGGAAACATTAAAACACACATGAAACCAAAAAATAAAAATAAAAAAAATAAATAAAAAAAGTAGCCTATGTTCATCAGGGACAATATCTGCTTCTAATGGAAAAAGAATTTTTCAAATCGGTCCAGTAGTTTCGGAGCCTATTCGAAACAAACAAACAAACAAATCTTTCCTCTTTATAATATTATAGTATAGAAGACAAACAATATTTAATCTATTCTCAATTAGACCACAGACGTCAAGAACAAAAGTTTGACAATAAATAAATAGTATGCATGCGTGTGTGCGTCAAATACATGGTAGTGTGTGTAATGTTTTTTTTATTGATTTAATGTTTTTTGTAGGCATAATTTTAAAAAATATTAACATTCTGCACTCCCTCTCTATATTCTCTATAAGTGTGGGAAATTTCATACTCCTCCGTCTGCGCAATTTTCGTAGAAAGGATACAAAGTTTTTCTTTCACGTATTAATTATAGATTACTGCGGAATTCTTCGATAATTGTTTTGAAATTATATGACCACGCGTTATGGATATTTTTTTTATGGAAATATGTATTATGGATACATGATTTTCAATATAATAACCATAAATTCATTTATGATAACCGTTAAATAAAAAATGACTTTTTAAATTGTTGATCGAATAGGCCATATGCCTTCTTTTAATGGATAAAAAAAACTAATAGAGCTTTTAAATAAATAAAGAATTGCACAAATATCAAAGCTAGGGCACCATTTACTTATCTTTACTTAAATTACTTAAATCTTTAACATTAAAAAAAATTACTTACTAAGCACCCAGATTAAGAGCTACATCTTTTAAGAGCAGCCATAAAAAGCGTATATTTAACAGTACTACACATTTATCCTTAAAGTATTCAATTAGAATTTAATACAAATCGTTTTTTACAACGCGAACCGAGAGGTAATCTCGCTTCTCACCTCTAGAGAATTTTCAGAGCCGGCAACATCTAATAAATAGCTCTTTAAAAAGTTACTTTCTTTAATGGATACCTTTGCGCATATCTAAACAGAACGGAGTGAAAAGAATTGTTTTCCTTTTTATTTTCTGTAGCTTTTTTCATTTGTTTTTCTTTTTGCCGCCTACAAACAATATTGACATTGATAAGCTTAAATTTGAAAAGTCGATCCAGTGAATCAATTTTCTCATAATTCAATTTTTTTTTAATAGTTTCTCAGGTACTGGAATAACATTATTTTAACAACTTTATTAAAAGAGAACCGAAAATTAAAATCACAATTATTTTAGATTTTATGATTTCTTTAACGTGAACGTTATTTAAAATTTCAATTTCAATTTTAAACAGAGGCGCGTCTGTTGGTGATTGGGCATCGCTGCTCATGAAGATCAGCAATGCCAGGGTAAAGCCAAGTCGCATGCTACTTTTTTCTCTTTTTTTTTCCCTATCTATGCTGATAGCCTTGCGAGGCTATGTCAGCTTCACCCTAACATGTAGGTGAGCTCACGGGGCTCAAACCGGAGTGTTGCTAGCACTGGCCCTAGCAAGAGCAGTGCTTCGCAGAATCTACCACCGGATCGGAAACGCGACCCACTGAGAAGATCCGGCGAGAAGCTCAGTGGGCTGTGTCTGTGGGTTAATTCGCTCGTCGAGCCCTACTTCGCAAGCGACGGGTTCGACGAAAACGATGACCGGTGCTTGTGGTAGCATGCTACTGCTGAGGACTCTCCTCATAGCTGGTTTTGAAGAAACATTGTGTAGGGTAGTTTATTCCAAAGAACCTCCGTACCCTCCGTACGTGACAAAAAGGCATTTGAAAACGCAATGTAGACGAAACACAGCTATTCTAGGTTAAATCATAAACTTTGCTCTGGTGGTGGCGAAGAGACAAAGCGATCATTTCGAGGAATTCCTCAGAACACAACTTTTTTTTAAAAGCCATAGAATAACTGAAACATAGACGATCCATCAAAGATATGATAGACGAAAAGGACTGTTCAGTAACGTCTACATTCTAGAAAAGTTTCGCATCAAACAATGATTTTCGTCGAATGATCTAGAGCGAATCTTAAAGACATAATATAATCCGCGACTAAGGCTCATTGGAACAATGGAGTTGTACAAGAAAGGGTAGAAGGTCAACGTCCTACTCCTCGCGATCCACAAGATGCGACAGACAAGAAGTTGTCACTTTTTACTGGTGGTAGGACCTCTTGTGAGTCCGCACGGGTAGGTACCACCACCCTACCTATTTCTGCCGTGAAGTAGTAGTGCCGTTTCGGTTTGAAGGGTGGGGCAGCCGTTGTAACTATACTTGAGACCTTAGAACTTATATCTCAAGGTGGTGGCGCATTTACGTTGTAGATGTCTATGGGCTCTAGTAACCACTTAACAGGTGGGCTGTGAGCTCGTCCACCCATCTAAGCAATAAAAATAAAAAAACTTATGTGAATTATTATGAAGCACAGTACCAAAGAT